CTCCAGAGTGGCCCCACATTGGCTGAGAGTGTGCGTACACATACACAAGTTGATTTGCTATCACCATCATTTTTTTTGTCTAATTTTTTTGTCTAATTTACTTGGTAAAATTTTCCAGGACAGAGCTATCTACTGTAAAAACAGTATAAGTGAAATAGCGCCCCTGTGCCACTGCTATTGAAAGCTCTTCAGAAAACAGCAAGAATTGAATCATTTGTCATTACAGCGCAAGGCCAGTGACTTTGGAGCCCTTTCCTCAAATAAAGCTCACTCCAAGCCGTACCTGGAGGATGTCAGTACTACTTGATCAGTTTTGCACTCCTTTTGCACTTGCAACAGAGGCTTCAAACACCTCAATCTGCATCTCTCAGATGTCTTGTTCAGCTCAGCTTGGTGCTATTCTGCAGTGAGCAACAGTACCACCCCATGGCCATCGGCTTCAGCACACGTTGTCCTCCCTGGGAAGATCTGAAGTTAGCGCTCGAAGTGTTAAATCTGTCTGCAGTTTCGGGGCATGTGTTTAAGAGCTCCTTCACAGTTGTTATGTTTCTTGCTTTCCCTTGTGTGCTGGGATGGGGTTAGAGGATCAGCCCAGCCCATGCCAGGTACTGCCTGATGCCTGTGGGGTTTGGGAGGGATTTTTTTGGCAGGCTAAGCGTGCGTGCAAGTAGTAGAGGGTTGTATGCCTATTTCTTTCTGCTGGACAAGTTCCCATCCACACTGTGCCACCCTGCGTGGAGTCAGGGCTGGGGAGAGGGAGCTCTGGAGAGGGCTCTGCTCCCCGCGGCGCCCAGAGCTGCGGAGGAAGCATGGCGATCGGGCACTTGTGAGCATGTCGTGCCTGGGTACACTGTACACTGTGAGAGTGTCAAAACTGGGCAAAGAAACAAAGCAATGTGCCAGATGCTCTACAGTAAGGGGAACATACTATGATCCCTGCTTGGTTTTCTGTTCCTTTAGACCCCTGTTAAAACTGATGGTTTTCTGGGCCATATATCTTCAGTGTTATCAGTCTGTGATGAAACACTAAAAACCAGGGGGATACTGATAAGAGAAAACACACAGAATTGCTTGAACATTACTCAAAATATTTTAATGTACATGCTGTATCCATTTTAAAGAAAGGAAAAAATCTTAGAGAGACGAAAGATGGCAAAGGATGTGATTTCATCATGCCAAAAGATACATATCTAGGAGGGGCTGAAGCCAATGGCTTCAAAACCACTCTTGTTCTGGCATGTGGTAAGCAGTCCTAGGGGTAAGGAAAAGGGGAAAGCAATATTTATTTACCTGATAGATTAACCTGTTGTGATCCATCAGGTAAACATTATTTTGTTTATGGATGTTTTTTAACAGGTCTAAACTTGGTATGAATAATAATACTTAAAATGGTTTTATTCCTTGTTGAACAGCTGTAGTATGGTGGGTAGATAATTAGATATTTACAAAGAGTTACGGCTGACATTCATAGAATATTCTAATAAATGTAGAACCTCCATCAGATGTGATGTGTGAGTAACATAATAAGAAGTGTCAAACACTAACAAACGCAGTACAGCAATGTAGTAGTAGCTATCAGTGATGCAGTATCTGCCTCTGTTATAAAGTGAGGGTTGCAAGTTTGGCAGTCTGACCACACCGACTGCCTTTATAAAAGCGATATACTGCAACCAGCAGCCACTCAGCCCCCACTTCAACCCTAGCTTCCTCAGAGGGGGACTGATGGCACTAGACACCCAGCCAGTACTCTATCCTCTGTTTGTCTCAGGAAATACAGCTGGGGAAGCACTCAGGCTCCTTTCTATCCTGTATGGTTGTCTCTCTGGAGATACGGAGGGCAGGATTTAGCTCAGTCAGAGCAAAAGCCCTTCAGTTCCTTATCAGACAGGCAGGCAGGCTGAGCAACGTGCCAGCTACCAGGGAACTTGACCTACTCTTGCTTCCTTTGGGTGATCATTGCCCCAGGTCAGGATCAGCTGAGGGCTTGGACCAGTGCAGATTTGGGGTAGCACTTACAAGGGCGGTTGGAAAGCTGCTTTTTTGCTTATAAGAGGATGGACAGGTTTCTGCTTCAAGTATGGCATGAACAAACCTCCTGCTGCTACAGAAACTGAGCTTCTAATGCAGCAGCCAGCTCTTGCCTGTGTTGGAGTTTTTTCCCAGTTTTCAGTGTCTTCACTAGGAGTTAGCTGACAGGCTGAGCTTTGCCTGCTGTAGAAGCAGACAGGAGTCAAGTTTTAAGTGATTAACTGGTTAATTTAATTGCAGGATGATTTGATGTTACTGTATGTGCTTCTGCCAGCAGGCTGCTACCCATAAGCTATAATGTATCAAGCCTCCGGAAATACATTGAAAGATTAAGCTCTAATCTAAAGTCCCATATTTAAGGATATAGGTATTTTCAAAGCTACCAGTCAGCCACCAATGAATGTACCAGTGTGTTTTTGCCAATGGGCACTTGCAAAGCTAAGTACTGACAGCATCCTACACCCAATATAATGCTTTCATCCCAAAATGACAATGGCAGCAGCACAGGATTCTTTACCTGGGTAGTCCCTTTGCCCCTATTACAAGCAGAGTAACATGCTTGTAATATTCCTTAGTTATTGTTAGATTTTTATCTCTTACCAGGCCCAAAAACATCAATAGAAAGAGACAGTTGCTTCCTCCAGATAAATGTTTTCTTTGAGTAGTTGTGCTCAGTTAAGCAGAGCGACTACCTCTTTTCATTTCACTGCCATCTAGTTAAGGTGCTCTCTTCTCGCCAGGTTCCTACCAAATTTCCAACAGGCCGTCTGTTCCCATTTGCTGTTGGGACTCCTCAGTCAGGGCTGAGGTCGCCTAGAAGGCGGAGCATTGCCTGCCGTAACACCTAACGCTGCTGGAGGGGCCAACACCCGTGCCACAGACAATAAGCAGCCGCTGTTATTCCCAACTTCTCTGAAGTTAGTGAGGTTACCCATGGGTAAAAGTAACACAAGGAAAGCTACAGCACCCAGTCCGCAAAACCCAATGCTCTAGTTTTCCAAGGAAGCCCTAATTTGAACATAAGCCATGCTCATACGTTGCAGCTCTGCTGACGCCATGTCTGGAGAGGAGGTTGGGCTACATTCAGTTCCCCTTCTCCAGGCACTGAGATGGCTGCCAGTCAGCATCTGGCCTGTGACTCACTATACTTGCTTCAGCCTCTAACATTCAAGAAACAGTCAAAAAAGCGTGTGTGTTTGTATGTGTATGCGTCCCCTATTGTAGTCTAAATGTGGTTAGTGCTGCAGTGCTGTGGGTTCAAATCAATTTAGGCTAAGAAGCGCACAGACCTTCCTAGGTCCCTGGTAAGCGCCCCAATCTCAGCCTTTCTTGTGCAGGAAGGGAACAACCCAATCATCACTGGCTTTGATTAAAAAACAAAAACAAAAAAAAAATCGTTGAGAGAGAGAGGAACCTGTTCTGCTGCCTATTTGGGTAGGCATGGTCCAAGGATGTGGGACTGCGTGCGAGTCCCCTCTGGGCGTTTGCAAGGTGCCTCCCTTCTGCTGCCTGTGTAGCCGCTTCTGTGCAAGCACAAGAGCCGAAGGTTACAAACCTAAAGTGTTTTGAAGTCCTAAACAGAGATACTGCTTCAAAGTCTTGCAACCCTGGCTGGCTGATGTCAGTTGTTCTCCTGAACACAGTGATTAAACATTACAGTTTGCTCTGTGTTAATCTCATGAATATGAAGCTTGAACCAACGTTAAGATTAAGACAAGGCTCTGTGGCTAGCAAAGGCAGTGCTCAAAGGATTACACTGAAAACAAGTGTTTTGACACTTACTGTGTCAAAAACAAATATGCCTCCTTGTCTACATAGTTACAGTGTTTCACTCTGAAAGAGAGTGACACAGACCCTGCTGCTATCCATAAAACTACTGCTGCATCTGCTCTTACGGCTTTAGCCACATGAGAAAGCTGTGGCAGGAACAAACAGTAAGTTCATACAAAAACCCAGGATTTCCCAAACTACCAACCACCTTCTCCTGAGTTTGCATGGAGCTAGTATGGGAGCTGGGGGAGAGGGGGTGACCACATGAAGTTAAGGTTGTTAAAAGTACTCTGCTTAATTCTTAATCAACTCTGAAGAGATTTACTAGCCATTTCAATAGGGCTAGGATTTCACTCTCAGGCTAAAGGTGCTAATATCAGTTCAGATCGATAACAAAAGAAAACTAGAGATGTGAGGGACGCTAAAAGAAGACAACTGAAGAAAATTGTACAGAAAAAAAAAATGAAAGCTAGTATCTTCTGGATGGGAGAATGGCCTGGTGGAAGGGACAGAAGCTCAGTACCATTCTGCTCTGAACATGACAGCAGGCTGAGTGGACCAGGCCAGTGCAATCACCTCGGAGCCAGGCTATTAGCATAGACAACTACTCTGCAGCCAGTAGAAAAACAACCAACACAGTCAGGCTATCAGAGGAACTCAAGTAAACGTCAGAGTAAATCTGGCTTGCTTTTTCCCTAACCAATGAAAACACGGAAGTGTGACAACTACTTAGGAGAGAAGCTGGCACAAAACAGGGAGGGAGGTGAAGTAGGCATCAGTGAATGAAATAAAGAGGAAGAAAATGTAAGCCTTGTAGCACGAACGACTTTGCAACAGAGGGCTGGTTCTCTCCGCCCTGCAGAAATCCTGACAGAAGAGACTGCTGGGTGGCAGACTGGGACAGTCTGTCCTGCCAGCCCTTGCAATTCTGTGGTAGCATCCATCTGGGAACTGCCCATCAAGACCCTACATGTAAGAGTGGCAGGTTCCAGGCCCCTCTTTTCTCTTCCTACGTTGAGTGAAGCCATGTTACCACAGTTGTCTTCTACCAGTGTTGCTACTGGGACTCCTTTTTACATGACCGTTTTCCCAGCATGACTGACTGGTGCTGGGGAAAGCACAATGACTGGAGATCCACCCCCCCCCCCCCCCCCCCCCCTTCCCAAGCAAAGCAGCGGCGGAGCAGCAAAGGCTGCCACAGAGTGTGACAGAAAAGACATGATCAATCACCGCTGCGCTGTCAGCATGGCACTTTGTGCACAGCCCGGCTCAGTAGAAAGGAATCTGACAAAAGCATCTGGGTACATGGCTATTTCATACACAGGCAGGGGTACACTGTATAGGCCAGGTGCGTACTTCTTAGCTGCAGTTCTACAAGTTGTGCAGACTGCCTCACAGTGTGAAGAAATAAATATTTTGAGAAGCCTGGCTGTAAGTCCATGTATTTAATAGGCTAATAAGGTAGCAAGGTAGAGCGTGTACCCTATAAATATTTTATAAGTCCTTATCCAAAACCAATCCCTTCTACTTTAAATACAATGCCTTCTTAACAGAGGAAGACTTACACATCTCATAACGGCACACATTCTGAGCATGACTTGCAAGAAACCCACTCCCAGTACAAAAAGAAAAAAAAAAAAACGCACTCAAATGACAGACCAAGATCTCCTTCTAAGAAGGTAACAATGATCTATTTACAAGAAAATACTGCTTTAGTTAAAAATGCTAAGAACTATTACCTTGGAGGCCATATAAAAATAATCATGTCTATGTATACACACATGTATTTATACATATTTATGGCTTTTACATGCTTCAACCTTCTCTAAGAAATGAGAAAATACAAATATTCCATTAGTTCTTTTTCTCCTCCTCAGGTTTTGCAGCCTCTGCCTCTGAGACGGTGCCACTACCATATTTTTTCACTCTATTTTCTACTTTGGCAAGTCTCTGCTTCACTTTTTGTTGAGATGAGGTGTATTCTGCCAAGAGCCTAGCAAACCTGGTCTGTAGCATATCCAGAGCCGTTTCAAGTCTTTCAACTTTTTCTTCCAAGTCTTTTGGGTCAGCTCCTGCTTTGGCTGCTTCCTCATCTATTAAATTGTCTTTCATCAGAATCTGTCGCCCTTTCTCTTCCAGAGCCTTTTTGGCATCTGGGTATTCAGTGAGGGCTTCCATTAAATCATCTTTAGACAAGCAGAACAAATCAGAATAACCAATACTCCTTATGTTGGCTGTCCTCCTATTGCCAGATTTGCTACCTTTGATGTTTAGGATGCTGATTTCACCAAAGTAGCTGCCATCACTTAGGACAACAAACTGTGTTATGCCATCATCTGCCACCACAGCCAATTTTCCCTCTTTGATAATGTACATTTCTCTCCCAATATCTCCCTTTTTGCAAATATAGTCTCCAGGACTGAAGACCGTAGGTTTCAGTTTCAGCACCAGTTCAATGAGAAGTCCAGCTTCACAATCCTGGAATATACGCACTTTCTTCAGTGTGTCCAAATGGACATTGATGGCAATTTCAGCCTTCAACTTGTCGGGCAGATTTTTAAGAACTTCCTTCTCATCCACTGTTTTCTTGTTAGTCCAGAGGTAATCAAACCATTTAATAACCCTGGCTTCCAAATCCTTAGTCACTTTTCGGAAATGCATGTACTGTTTAATAGAATCGATTTTGGCCTGGAACTCTGCCCTGGAGGCGTTCATGTTGGAAATCATTGAGCCCACGTTACCAACAATGGTAGCAAAGATGAGCACACCCACCAGGAAGTCAATGACCACAAAGAGATACTCTTCATCTTTCACTGGAGGTGGGGTTTCTCCAATGGTCGTCAGCGTGAGCGTTGACCAGTACAGACTGTAAATGTACTTTCTAGATAGGCGCCCGTACTCTGGAGTGGACACGTTGGGGTAGACCCAAGAGTCAGTTCCAAATCCAATGACCTTTGAAATTGCAAAATATATACATGCGTTCCAGTGGATGATGATAAGAATGTATAAGACAAGATTTCCAATGCGAAACATGTTTGGATAATTTGTCCGGGTTTCTGTACGATCAAAAAACTCAAACAGCCGAGAAATCCTCAGCAAGCGGTTAAACCGCAGTTCAGGGTAGTTCCAACCGAGCTTCAGGTATGCCAGGTCTGTTGGCAGAAGAGAGAGCACGTCCAGTTTGAACTGCATAGTTTTTGTGTAATGGTCTCGTAATTTCTTTTCATCCTGAACTAGCAAGCCTTGCTCAAGGAAGCCTTTAAAAAAATAAAAACAAATACTTTACTAGTTAGAATAAAAGGGCAGTTCAGAATTACAGTCAATAGCACTGAGTGACTTACACTTCAGATACTTGAGAACATTAAAACTGGAACTGTCAGGCATACAGCAAATGATGTACCAGGAGTTCATTTAATGAAAAATATTTAATTGTAAATTTAAACATCTGAAGTTTCACAGCTGGTAAATAGTGATGTAGAGAAATGACTCTATTATTACATGGTGCTTCCTGCACTTTTCCACTCTATTTTGGGACGACTGTGTCCATGTCTTTTAGACATTTTTGCAAATAGAAAGGGGAGATTCATGTCTCAATTCTCATGAACCATTGGCATGACTCATAACTACAGTTAAGCACATTTTGATTATATATAAAATCAGAGTGGAATATTTTTAAATAAATTCCAAGAATAGGTATAATGGAACGTCAGAAAATGTTTTCAGAACAAAATAAATAACCTTGGGCTAATAAAATATAGCTCCCCCTCCTCCCCCCCAGTCTATGCTTTTTCTCTTATATCCAATGTTACAGCTGACAGGATTTTCATTTGCAGAAAATGGTTTGTACTTTTTGGCGGTTTCTAGTGAGACAGCTACTAAGGAGAAAGCTTCCTACTTAATATACATTGTCTCAGTAGTGGTCCGAGTGCTCACCACCTTGAGCAGAAGGAAAGCATGAAGTGATTATCACCAAACACATGGGACTACTGAGAGTGCTGGTGATTTGCCACAGTCTTATTATTTAAAAAGTTATCATATTATTAAAATTATATTGAAGGGTGCTCAGTGGAACAAAGTCAAGCGTTAGAAATGTTGGTTATATATGCAGTTCCTTTTTTTTTCCACCAGAAAGAAACCTAAAAGGGGGAATTAATAATTGAAGCTACTTAGTTGACACAGATCTATTCCAGATTATGTTAAATGATTTTATAAATTATTATCTAAGTATTATCACTCAAGAATGGCTTCGGATTTGTTTGTAAGTTAAGTCTGCATGTATTTAATTAATATATAGTCATAGTTAGTCATGGCAGAAGGATTATTTATGTTCTATTTATGTTTGGTTCTCAGAAGAGCACCAAATCCAATACAGCAGTTTTATTTCTGATTCTGCCACTGTTCCCGCAAAGGACCACATGTACCTCACGTTACATCTCTGCATATTGGTGTCTCATCCGTAAAATGAAAAAAGGATGCCAATCATCTCCAATGTTTATTAGTTAAAATCCACACACAACAAATACTAGGTAAGTTATTCAATACTTTTGTTTCAAAAAATAAACACCTGCACAATCCTGAGCCAGATGTGAAATTAGAAAGGTTACCTCACATCCCTGATTCTAAAAAGAAAGAACTAGTGTTCAAAGCAGATTTTCCTCTACATTTCTCTATTCAAAAAAAAAAATCCCTGTGATAGTCTTTAAAATTACCAGTGAATACTTTGCTTCCATGAGATTATCTTTTTTTTTTTTTTTAAATAGGTTCAAAGTTCCTTATAGATCATGTAATACACAAATTTAATTTTGCCTTTCAATTTTTGTTAGGTTCTCTTCCCATATAATGCATTTATGTAACATAACAAGTACATATGGTACAGATGTAGTAGTTTGTGTCAGGGCTTAACTGGAATACCAGTGAACATGATAACCATCAACAGAAAGATTCTGGTTGCTTTTCATACCCTTTGGATAGGGCTTCAAATGAATCAACCAGATGACAGGTGAACAGTGATTGTGAAAATACCTTCATATTTAAACATAGCTATTAATTATATCATCTCATGGTCTTACATCCTTCTAGCCATTAAGTGGGCATTGTTTTCATAACTCCCGCCCTCAAAGTCAGCTGCCTTAAGAAAAATTTTGCTAATTACTTGACGCAAAACCAGTATTTTCTATTTTATACTGAGAAACAGCTGAGAAAACTCATCTGTGTAACATCCTACTTCTATTTTCATTCCCCTGTCACTTTTGCTCAGGACAATTTTGCAATCATTTTTGTACACTGAGATTTCTTTATTCAAAAGAATTCAGAAACTATTAGATTTTAAGAATTATGAGAAGGCATAAACCAGTAAGAGACCTTAAAACAAACTGCAGCTGTGTATAGGTAAGAATTCTCACAGAAAGGCTGCTTAAGCAGTACAGCTGCAGTGCTATTTGTTACCTCTGAAAGCTCAAGGCAGTAAAAAATGTCCCGCAGGGAACAGCCTATGCACTATGAAACACATGCTGCGGTTGCAAGTGCTGCATGTCCAGCTAGACCAGTCAGGAGCAAAAGTCCATGTCAGAGCAAAGTGAAATGTTCCCTGTATACCAGGGATTATCAGATTTTGCTAATCACTTAGCAATCTACAAGCAGCTACTTTTATAGGAGCAGCTATAAGCGACTACTGGTGAGGACCGAGCTGCAATTCCTTCTGCCCCGTACAGCACTGCTGTATTTCTGGAATCTGTTGCAGTTTCTGTTATTTATCTGTACATCTGTCTCATGTACATGTGTGTATCTGTCGTCAGCTAGCTGTAAACTGATGCTGACTACAAATGGAAATAGTCATGTGCCACAGTTGTGCTCCCATCTGAAAATTACAGAAGATTTGGTCAAATATGCCCTTATGAACTGTCCTATGCACCCAAACAGAAAAATGAATTTCTGACTTACAGTTATTAAAATAAAGGGAGATAAAAAGCCCTCAGGTCTTTTTGTCTCCTCACAGAACGAGAGTACTAGTAAAATCTTTTGAAAGCACCAAAACATGGAGAGTACCAGATAAGGTCAGCTGTTGAAAGACATGAATCCTTTCTGTTTCACAGTATGCAGTCACCAAATCGCTGAAATACAGTGAAACTGGCCCTGCTGCTAGTCAGTACTGCACCGCAGAGAATCTGCCATGGATCGTGGTAGCAGCTATGGAGCTTCCTAGATCCCATTTCCAAGCCAGTCCCTACTGCTGGACAGCCAGGGGGGTCATTCTCTTCCTCAGAGCCTCCTGGGACCTTTGTCCTGAGAGCAGCTGCATCTTGCAGACTTACCTGAGATGGCAGCTGACACAGCCAGGGGCCATGAGAGGTTGCTATGCTGAGCTGTCAAAGATTTCAGCACCTGAAAGAACCACTCACTCTGCTGAGGGCCTAAAACTGCAGCACAGACCTGCACTGAAGCATTCAGGAAATCTCTATGGCAATTCTGCAGTTGCAGCCTAAGCCTGCAAAGCCAGTCTTTTAACCACACTTTGACTCCATTATCAACATAGCCCTTGGAAATTTTATAATTGCACTTGCACTGCCTGTACACGCTCAATTTCTGCTCAGTTGTCTCTTTTCATTCCCATTACAGAAATAGATTTAATTGCAGAAGAAGAATTTAGTAGGCATAGCTAGCTTTCTTGCTATAGGACAAAGGTGAAGCCAAAAAAAAGGCAGTCTTGAGATTCACGCTGCTGAGAAATAGTTCTTTGCTGAACAAGGACTTGCTAATTTTAAAAACCCAGCTTGATGCTATGAATTGTGTGTTTCCCAAAGTGACAGCATTTGTGGTTACAACTTATCACAAGTCATCATTAATTTCAAGTTGTTAGTATGATTAAAAAAGAAGAAAATGTAAAAATCAAAGATTTAAGAGAACTCTCATTTTTATAATGATCAGTGCAGTTCTGGACCCGTTCAAGAGACGCTTTTGGCTTTGTCTGTACCAATAAACAGAATAGACAGGAAATGTTTTCCAGCCTTGAGATCAGCTACCACAATAGCTTGTGTTTATACACCTAAACTCTCCCAGACCCCCAGAAGAGTAGCACTGTCCAAACTGCCTCCTAGGAACAAGTCCCAGCCTCTGTTATCATCCCCATCTGGGCCTAAACACTGTTTGGGAGAGTACTCGTTGCACAGAAAAAGTTCTGACAAAGACTGTTCCAGCAATTTAACAGTATGGCTCATTCATTGTGCATCGTTGTTTAGGCCTATACTACGACCTTGTTTAGTTTAAAACAGATGTTACTTTTAAGGCTAGAATCAGTATCAGTCGGGCATACTCAAGTATGAAGTTCTCTCAGCCTGTCTAGACTACAGAAACTGGAACAGGGTGATGAAGATAAACACTGCGATCATGACATGGCACTGTCATCATGGATCCTTTGAGCTCAAGCTTCCTTCAGGAAGGCAGGACCAAAGCACCTGGTTAATCCTACATCACCATGCTCCTGGGTTAATCTTATACTATCACCACATAGCTTAGTGGAGACATAGCCAGGAGCTCACAGAGCCTGCAAGAAACACAGCTGGTGGCAAAGGGGCAGCACTACCTATTCCAGGTAGAGGACTGCAGGTGGGAGGCAGAGACAAGTGCCAGGTCTCACATATGGCCAACGCTAAAATCACTCCTGAGCATGTTGCTGCATGCTGGCTAAGAAAGCAGAACTAGTGGCTGGAGCTGACCTTTTTGCCCTACCCAATACGTAAAAGCAACCTATCACACCCTCAGTGGTAAATGGCTTGGAAAGTGCTTTACCTTGCCTTCCCCACATTGCCTATTACAGTGGCTTTGGAGAAGGCTGATCATTCAGTGTTTGACCCTGCCTATTTAGCACTGATAGGACTGGGTTTGGAGATGAGAGAAGTGCAGGTATCGGGAAGTCCACCCTCACAACAAACCAAGTCGGTCGCACACTTCATTTTCCCAAAGCCTCCATTGCCGGGTTCTGCTGGAGGCAGGATATTACACTGGCCAGACCCCACAAGGAAATTCTTTTTCCAGCTTTTATATCTGTGTCGTTATCTAAAAACAATGTAAAACCACTAAAAGACTCACCTGTCCTGAATCTGACAAACATGTCAAAAGCATAGATGATATCAGAGCAATAGTCCAAGACCAGCCATAACCTAATATGGTCAATTTGTAGCTCATCAAAGCAGGCTCTAAAGAAACAAAGATATGACAAAATTTACACCAACTGCATAAGAGAGCACTCAGAATGTGCTTACTAAAAGCCTATCCGTGCACGTCACTAGCACTGAACAAACTAAAGGCAGCATGTCTCCATGCCTGCACGTCTGCACTGTGGAGCTATGCCTAAATAGACAATAGTATCTTTCAAAATTTAAAAATGTTTAACTTAAACACATATATGCAGCACAAGTGCACATACGGAGGGATGCACAAATCCCTACATTTAACCATGCACCAGATTTCATGGGAAATTTCCCCAGGTACTCCCAACCTCCCATCTGCAAGTGCTAACAGGTCTAGATAAAAGTTCATAAATGTCTCCATTAAGATAATTCTCAAATAAAATATTTTTTTTTCTGAGAGGCAAGCCATCCCTATGGATGGCAAGCCTATGGCAGGTAAGGCACATCTCTGTATCTAGCCAGTAGGTGGCATACAAAGGCCACTGCCAGCACTCATAGGATGCTTTCTGCAAGTTACAATCAATTTATATAGGAAAAAAAAAAAAAAGCATTGGCCATCTATTTCCTCTGATATGTATATTGTATATCCCTAAAGACATGTGAGCTATATAGCTTCTAGGTAAGCCACCCAGAATATACCAGAGGGAGATGAGAGTATGATATATGCAGGAAATATAACAAGGCACTTCACATTTGAAACCTAAAATTATTATTAACTTAAATCCATACCTGCACACAAGCATACACCAGTTATAGAACACAGGTCCTGCAATTATGGTCAACCAGTTGTAGTACATATTGCTTGAAGGATCTATCACAAAGATGTCTTTTTTCTTCCTGGAAAGTGAAACATACAGATTTACACTGGAAATGTAATGAAGCGACCTTCTGGATCTCTCTCTCCTGGAGGCTGCTCAACTCATGATTAACACACAGCTGCCTGAGAAGAGAGAGCATCCATGCCAAAATTCAAGATGAGATACCAAATATTAGCTGAAGTTTCATCCTATTTGTCACAATCTACTCCTGCATGGTTCAACTTTGGAAAAAAATACCAAGATCAGAAAGAAAAACAAAACTGTTCAAAACGCACCGGCTGAAAATACCACCTTTTCTGCATATGACCCCCACAGAACAAACAGGAAAACATTAAATGTTTCTGGCCATCATTTCAGCTAGAAGTCTATAGTCCACTGCTAGAGGAAGAGTCTTCCTTTGGGGATTAAGTTTGACATTTTTGGTAAATCCTTGTTTTATGGACATGACTGTATGAACATGCATTTAAACAACTAAATTACATACATACTCAAACACATAATTATACAAGCAAGACTGTGCATGCACACATGCACAAACATGCGTGTATGCGCACGCACGTGCACACACACACACACGCACACACACGCACACACATACAGAGTGCAGAGACCAGAACTAAAACATGCATTATTATGTAAAACCAAATTTCGCACATTCATAGTCCAGGCTCCTCACACCCCACAACAATGAGGCGCTAGAAGAAATGTGCAGGCCTGGAATTTAGTGAAGACTAAATGGGTAACTAAAATTGGTGACCACCTCAGATCTGGTGGCCATGAAATATGGTCTTCATATGATAGACTACACTGCCTTCTAAATATTTTAAAATATTCACTGTCTTTGCTGAAATATTTTAAAACGATTTAGGCTAATGTAAAACTCAGGCTCTCATTACTCAGTAATTGAAGCTGGAAGACAATCCTTCGGAAAAAATGCTTTCAAATTTAAGCTTTGATTAAGAGAGAAAGTCAAGATCTGGAGATCAAGCAGACCCCCATCTGGAAATGACTCCGAACTACACGTCCCTACATCTACACAGCACACACAACCATATACACAAACAAACTTGCAATATATTCATCTGACACTCCTTAACTGTGAAGTCCAATTAAATGCATTCTCTTTTTATCTGTTGCCACTCGTTATTTTTTGTGACTGGTAATACTAAATTGAATTGCGTTCCAGTCAAATCTGGGGGGACTAGACAAGACCAGGATCCGTTTCTGTTAAGAATATTCAAGATCTCATTGTTTGCACAGAAATTCAGCAGCTCTTAATCAGCAGGAGCAAACTTTACTAATCGCTGGTAAAGAATTACACCACATTAAGTAATCGGTTCTGTTACTCAGGGCAAGGACTCAGAGTAAGCAGACATCTTACTCATATATTTGTCAGAATTATCAATAAACTAAACTTCTTAGTATATCTGTAACTTTCCACATGTAATATTTTTGTTCTTTGTCCAAACGAGACCTTTTGTTTGTCTGCTTTGAGTCATTAGAGACATACTGGAACTATGACAAATCTGTGCAGATTTGCAAAGCAAGCTGCTATCCTAAAATGCCCTCAGAGGAAAAAAAAAGAAGTTCTTGAACAGCCAGCCAAAATGATCAGAGGTAGCAGAATTCCTTTTTACTGACCTGGGAAGCTGTTCATGACAGGTCTTAATACAGGTCTTAAAGATGCAACAGGTTTGCTGAGCAGCTGCACCATTTCAAAGGGGAAAATGTATTACAGGTTTGACAGAATAACATTCTGCAGCCTACAGAACAATAATTATAGCGGTAGTGTTACAGTGAAATGCCACACTGTGCTCTCTAGTGTAGGAGGCATGTTTCAAGCATACATTCATTCTTTATACTTACTCTTCTTTTTTTTTATCATCTTTTTTGTCATCTTTCTTTTCCTCTTTCTTTTCCTCCTTCTTTTCCTCTTTCTTTTCCTCTTTAACCTCCTTTTTGTCTTCCTTTTTGCTGTACGACATAATGTAAGGCTTAGCAACATTACCAATTTTCTGCTAGTTAGGGGAGAGGATCGATGGTGAGGTAAGATACAAGTAACTATTGACCTGGATGCTGCACAGGGTAGGACAGGGTTTCTCAGCAGAACCATACATCCAGCTGGTGTAAATGGTTCACAGGCTAAGGCCTCTAGAACTAACAACAGCACGTTACTAAATCAGGTAACCAGCTGGCTGATTCTGTGCATTAGCCACTCATGCTTTGTTGACCTTTTCATACATCAGTGTACCAGACTTATTTTAATTAAATGTTCCAGTTTGTCTTCCAATGGTTTAACAAACTATCAATATTATTGCCAGATCCAAACCCTCACAGTGCCTGTTGGAAGCTTTAGCACTGATTAAACGAAATAAGCCTGAATGCCCTCTTACAATGCCCTTTAAAACCAACATAGCCACAATTAATTACTTCTGGCTTCAGCAATTGGCTTGGAGAAGAATCCCGGCCAGTATCTTTGAACAAAGACTGCAAATGCAGAAAAAAGAGCTGTCTCACTTAACTTCACTTAAGTTCACTTAACTTCAGACCTCTACATATGAGCTAGTCATTTTACACATGCTTTAGAGTTAACACGATTAATCCAAACTATTTTAGATCTCTACACTAGAATGAGATGACTTGTGCCCTAAAAGCACCTTTTTCTCTCCATTAGCTGTAAAGGAACAGTATGTTGGCTACTCCAGATGCAGGTGTCCATATGTGATCAGATCAGTCATGCTCAAGCTGCTATCTATCATCTTTTCAGTATTGCCACTGTATTCAAAGCCTGCGTGTTAAGCATGAAATTCCGTCCTCACTGAAATCAGTCAGAGTTTTGCATAGACTTAATGGAGTCGGGATTGTCTCCATGTTCATTAACTGTTATTTGCGCTATCAAATACAATAAATATGGACCACGTAACTTCTGCCATCATTTCTGCACATCACTGTATCCTACCATTCCACAGCATCCAGCAGACCCAAGCTGCAAGATTTAGTCCCAGACACGAATTTCCCTGGCGTTCAGCCATACACAGTTTTCAGCTCATTAGAATGTGATGAGCTAGAGTAAAGATGGATCTGATTTAGCCCATTCTTAGGTTTGTCTAAACCTAACCACAGAAAGCATAGCTGGTGGAGAATACAGCCTTAGTGTTTATTGATCTTCTAGTTGTATATGCACCTCAAACCAAGAAACACTGTTTCATTTACCAAAGCTAACTCTACATAGCAGCAGGAACTTCTATTCAGGTATTTAGTGTACATATCATCGATGACCTGGATGAAGGGGCAGAGTGCACCCTCAGCAAGTTTGCTGATGATAGTAAACTGGGGGGAGTGGCTGACACACCAGAAGACTGTGCTGCCATTCAGAGGGACCTGGACAGGCTGGAGAGATGGGCGGAGAGGAACCTCAGGAAGTTCAACAAAGGCAAGTGCAGGGTCCTGCACCTCGGGAGGAACAACCCCATGCACTAGGACAGGCTGGGGGTTGACCTGTTGGAAAGCAGCTCTGCAGAGAAGGAACCTGGGAGTGCTGGGGGACAACAAGTTAAACATGAGCCAGCAACGTGCCCTTGTGGCCAAGAAGGCCAATGGCATCCTGGGGTGCATTAGGCAGAGTGTTGCCAGCAGGTGGAGGGAGGTGATCCTGCCCCTCTCCTCAGCCCTGGGGAGGCCTCACCTGGAGTGCTGTGTCCAGTTCTGGGCTCCCCAGGACAAGAGAGACATGGCACTCCTGGAGAGAGTCCAG